ATAAGCAACACGCCTTCGGAGATTCGAGTCCTATTCAAGTGCACGAAAGATTTACGTTGAATAGTTCTTGAGCCGTGAAGGGGCGCTCGTAACGTTAGGAGCCGGCTCAAGGAGGGAGAACATTGTTGAGCCAATTACTGTACTTGGAACTAAGCCTTAGGGAGGGGAAGGACTTCTGGAAAGAACGCGAACATTTTGTGCTCTCCCTGGTGTTTCCATCTCCTGGACAGTCCTGGTGTCAGCTACCATAGGCCCTATTTTGAGTGCCTCTACCCCCACCCCTCAAAAAAAACCTGAGCACTACAATCTCATCCAAGAGCCATAGAGAACAAGTCGGCTAAACACTAGGTAGAAGTAATTTCTGCACCAATACGTTAAGTCCCGCAAAGAGAAAATCTTTCAAAGAATCGCTTAGCAAATAAGGAAAGCAGTTTCGATCTCAGAGTCACAATAAGAATACAACAGTGTATGATTATTATTCCGAGCCAGGGCGACCTGTTGATCTTTGATCTTGTTTCTTGGAGGACTCAAATACACTTCACAGCAAGCAGTGTTGCAGTAACATTAAAACATGCATGCGGCTCAAGAAAGGAGCCCCGCAATTAGTTACTATGTGAGATGCAATTGCAAATGCAATTAGTTATAATAAAAAGAAATTCCAAGAAAATTTACCATCGAAAACCTCAGGTGAGAATTTCTTCAGTTCTCCCACATTTTTGCGCACAGTGCTGATTGCCTGAATTTCAAAAAATGGTTGCCTAAACCTCTCTCGTGAACTGAAATTCCGTTACCTTGCAGTTCAGCATTGCACAAAGCCTAATAACATGAGCTACTGCATCCTTTTCCGTTGATTTGCCTCCAACACCCAACGAAGCAGTCAAACCGATAATCTTCAAAGAACCAACGTGAGAACATTTTCATAATCTTTAAACTTGAATGAATTAGTCTTCGAGACGCTATTTCCTGCCATCCCGTTGAGCAGAGCCGATCAAGAATTATCCCATCAAGCTCCAGGTGAATCAGCTACTGACGAGCAGATATGTGGAGCAGAGGTTGACAAAAAAAGCGCTGTCAGCTTTTGGCATAAAAACAACTATTCTTCAAACAGTACTTCCAGGAACTAGGCAGGCGATAGATATCCCAGTCAAATTACTTTACTTTTGACGTTCATATTTTACTGAGCAAAAGAGACCACTTTACAAACCTGCGGTAAAGCAGCCTTGGAAGGAATTCTTTGAGAAAAACTTAGTCGATGGTAGAATCGCAACAGCTCTGCAAAAAAACAACTGTTTGCGTAATATAGCTTCTTCAGGTGCCAGAAGCCAACATTTCGTGTTCAGAACGACTATTTGAATGTGTCTCATCCCATCAACGCATTAGTGAACCCCGCTCAAGACAATTCTAGGGCCCATAGGCTTTTTGGTGTGTCGTTCACACTACAATCATCCATAAAATCTATTGGTAAGAACCCGGGCCGGCTTTGGATCATTAGATCTTCGATACCAAGGAAAATATGAAACAGAAGAAAAATAGAAAATGATGACTCACTTGAATAAGGCGAATTCTTGACAGCATTGTGGCACTCATCGAACACCATCATTGTGAACGTAGTCACTTCAAAGGGTGAACGAATTACATTCTCTATACCGTCAGATATTGTGTTCTCCTCAAGAAGATTCCTGAAGGAAAGCTATGATGGGTGTTGGAAAAAGAACACTACGATGTTTAGTATAATGTAGTATTATAACAAGGGGGGGGGGGGGGGGGGGGGGGGGGGGGGGGGGGGGGGGGGGGGGGGGGGGGGGGGGGGGGGGGGGGGGGGGGGGGGGGGGGAGGGGGGGAGGGCCCATTCAGCAACGCTGAGAGGTAGCAGTTCGCTGATTTTCTTAAGATCTAGGAAGGTAGACTAATCGGGTAAGAGCCGAATTCGTCAATGGAAGAGGTGATGCATACCAGGGTTTAAACAAATTTAGATCCAGGGACTGACACAACACACTCTCTATTCAGTGCGTTCAATGTTCGTGCTTCAAGAGATAATAGGAGCGAAGAGGACCATGGGCAGCAGAAACCATGGCATTCAGAGTACGCTGACCAATAAACAGTAGAGAGATGGTACTGAAGGAGACATGCTGCCTCTTTTGCTATTGCTCTGTATTTGATAGAGAATTTCAAGCGTACCACACTGGTTCATGAGGACAGGCTCAATCACTGGTTTTGGGCCCTTCGCGTTTCCATTTTACAGACTGATACAGACACAAAATTCCGCTGATTCTGACTGGAGATTGAAGGGGCAAGGCGCATTCCGGAAAGAATTTAGATGCTTTGTTTTATCTGCTCTAAGATTGAAAAAAAAAAAAAAAGGAAAAAAACATATAGATTAACCCTACGCCCTACCGAACCTCACTGTTCAAAGAACGCGGTAGTTTTAGGAGAAAATCAGCACGACGAGATCAATTACAGTTCTTAAAAACTCGGCTTACTATTACAACTTGATTTCGCCAAAAATTCTGGCCGAATGCCACGCCCCTGTTGCGTGATTTCACCGAATTACTAGCTAGACTGTTCTGAACACCAAAATAAGTCGAAGCAATTTTAAGACTTACAATCAGTCAATGCAAAACAAGGCCAAGTTCTGGAGTGGGAGAAAATCTTCAAAACAAATAGCTTTTCGAGTGAACACACGTGAAGCTTGTTTTATAAACCAGGAAAAACTAACACGATAAGTTTGTCGGTCGCTACAATACTCTTCTGCGGTGACCTCGATCTCTTCGAAGCAGGGAATGTTGGCGGAACAGAACTGCCAGACCTAGGAAAACAGAAAAGTCGATAAGTCTTTTGAGGGCAAAAGGCCCTAGGAGTCACGCCTTCCCAAATGGTGCACCTTTGCCATACGGCCACTGCTTCGGTTCTTGTCTAAGTGACTCTTTATGATGTTCACGGCAACGACTGTTTTTCCTGATCCTGTGGGAGCAGCAATGATCGTGTTCATCCCGTTCATGCTTTTTTCGCATAGCTCCTTTTGATAATCGCGTAACAAAATAGGCGTTTCTGAAAAAAGTAGCTGTAAGATGAGGTAAGTAGTAAGCTTCTTGCGACGCAGCAACTTGCTCAAGTTTTTGGATCCAGGTTTCCTCCCCTTCTCAAGCGCAAGTAACACCTTGTACAGCGTCATTCAATGAGAGGACCATGGGCTCCTCGGTGGAAAGGCAAGGCAAACCACTTTCTGATTGAGAACTCTTGAAATGGTAAACAGACAACTACGCAACTAATTCACTTACTGGGGTTCACTGGGTCAATCTATACATTACTGAATAGATTTTGCCTGAATTTTGCCCAGAAGACATTTCATAATCGATGAAATCCCCCAAAGCCTTTCTACGGACCGCTCATGCCATTAGACGTAATATCGAAAGAATTTATAGACGAGACCTACCTGCAAACGATCGGTCATCGATTGCTTTCAGCAGCCTTCCGGTCAAAGTTTCACTTGAATGCGAAATCGATGGTAGGTCTTCATAATTTAAATTTACTTTGAACTTTCTTAAGAACAAATCGGACAGTCTCTGTCAACAACTATTGTAACTAAACTTTCAAGAAACGAACTTCGCCTGCGGAGAATTCTCATTAATTATGTCCGCAATTGGAACATCCGGTGGACAAAAGGTAACAATCCCACGGGGTGATGTTCTTTCCTTATCCAGTAACTCTGAAATAAACATATCATTGGGTGAAGAGGCACTGCCTGAGAGTTCCAAATTGGTACTCACCGTAGAAACGGAGGAAATTAGGGTGCAGCTTATTAACAAAATCAGCTGATTGATCGGAATTGTGGTAAATAGACCGCATTAAATCGTAAATGGCGTTATCTCCAAGCAATGGGACGGTTCGCAGAACAACTCTCTTCTTTGTGGGAATATCTTCCACATCTACAAAGGACACATTTAATTTTACATTTTCGCTCTATCTCCCAGGAATTTGGATGTAAAAAGACTATGTCGACCTTCTAAGCTTTTCTCTATCCGTGAAGTCACGGTGTTGTAATACTGGATTCCTTTAAGGAACTCCAACGTCTTATCCACATCAAGATGAGCCCAAAACTCTTCGAGCTTCAAAAGCACTTTGCTGAAAAACAACCATCATAAATACCTTCAATGAAATGAGCATGAATGAAGGCTCAGCTTTACCCGACCTGAACTGACTTCGAGAGTCCTTCTCTGAGACGCAGCATAGAGTAGAATGCAATTCAGCATCAACTGGAAATTTATTAGGTGAGGGTCGTCGGGAGAAGAAGCGACTTTCATGCCGTTTGCAGTGCGAAACTTTTTCGCTGTGAGAATCACAGGTCATCCCGTGATCATGACATGATCTAAGTTTCCGCAATCCAAAAGTTTTTCTTTCAAAAAAAGCGAAAAGGCCGCTTACTGTCTTAGCGAGCCTACAGAGGTATTGTGAGGAGGAATCGTCGAATGCGAGACAAAACATAAAGATGAAGACCACGAAATTCTACTAACCAGTTGCGAGGTAATGAAGAATTGTGTCATACAGAGCAGAATTCATCGGCGAATTCGTCAAAGCATCCCATAATTTCTGAGTGAATTCAGTATCATCACTCGAATCCACAAGTATTTCCTCGAATTCGTTTGTGCTGAGCAGTTCGAGCAAATCGGTAGGCTAAAAATATTTATTAACAAAATTCAAGTCGAAGAAATCTTGCATAATCAGAACTATTGCCTTTGAAAGGCTAACCATTAGTTGATTGATTAAGCAACTATGACGCCGCCTCAGGTTGGAGAATTACGGTAGGCTTCCAAGAGCTGGGCTACGATGGCAGCTGACGCCATATTGTGAAGACTGAGAGGTCAGTAAGGGTGTGTGGGCTGCTTCAGCATATGGTGGCTGGGACATCAACGAATTTTTGCCGTAGAACCTCCTTCAATGGCGACACCCTGTGCGGGGAAAAGTTATGGACATGCGCCATGGGCAGAATGACTTTTTGCCCTTCCTCCCCTGTCTCCCCGCCCCTCCATAGAAGGCACATATTAATTGAACCCTCCGGTTACTCCACAACACTATCTGGCATCACCGTTAGAGGTCAAGAGTTTAGGAGATGGGTCCCACAAGCAGTGAAGAAAACCACAAAAATCTCACTGCAAGGAATTTGAGCGCAATATGTTCAAAAGGAATGACCAATTCGCCGTGTTGTGTTAGGCACACTGATCCCCACTTTCACACCTTGAGAAAAAGAGGGTCTAAGGCTCAGGGAAATAGGGGAAGGATGACATGTGGCCCTAGAAGGAAAGGAACTCCATTACGTCGGAACTCGTTTAAAATGCAGCCTACGACAAGTACATAGCATATGAGGATGCTCGTGGGATACAGAAAGTGGGGCTGAGCTTTCAGGTACATTTCATTGTAACAGTTCGCAGGGTTCGAAGTCAGAGAAGTTCAAATATAAAGCGTGGAGCTAACTGGAAAACCAATAAAAAAAATTATGCATAAGCACATACCCGCTCGGACGAGTTGTATAGTGGTGCCAGCCGCCTCTTAATTTCTTCCGAATATAGTGAAAGTAAAGCCAACTTCTGCTTTGTGTTCAAGAGTACCATAAGCAGCCGACAATGGAGTGGTAACCGTTCCGCGACCTGAACAGTTGTATGTGAATTACACGAAGCTGCACCTTTCAAAGGTATCACGGAAGTGATAACAGTTACGATTACATAATCCGAAACCCGTAGAATCCAGCTCTATTTTTTTTCTCAGTGTCCACTCTCTAGCTCTTTTCCCTCTATGATGATTCTGAAAAGATGTACACTCTTTCCGGGGAGGAGCTAGCGTTTAAGCAACGAATCCATGAGGCACATAACTGCAAGTCTGTCACATGACAAGAGTTCAAGAAATATGTCGAAGCAAAGCTAACCTAGAGTATCAGAGAGGGGGAGAGAGGCGTACGCAAGCCGTGAGCGACGAATTCCGCTGCGATCAAACAGCGGCAATCACCGTGTTCAGGCGGACTGCGCAATTCGCAAGCTACTATCCATAACTTGTGACGCTTCTTTGATCCCGACCTCTGCAGGAGGAAGGGTCTGTCTTAGGGCTGCTCAAGAGCTTTCCTCTGCTAAAATCAGGATTTATGTAAGCGGCGACCTATTGCACCAGGGGATTTCAAGGGCTATGCAGCGAGATGGGTCTACGGAAACTGCATCAGTCCGCATACACTTATTCTTGATCATGGGAATCTCACATCCACCGCACTAGGCGCAGAATTCGAGTACCTATGGCCGGCCGAACACTGTTGCATGCGACTAATGCGACTACAGAACATAAACTCCTGGGGCGGTATTCAATCCTTCCCCCAGGGGGATATATCCCCCTCCTCTGATTCAATCCTCTGGGGGGACAAAAAAGGGTTGCGTCATAGGACCTAGCATACCTCTGTGTTTCTACCTGCCAGACAGTTAGAGCAGCGCTACTACCCTCCACTGATGAAGCACTCTTTCCCTGAGGGTCGCGCTGCTCTAACTGTCTGGCAGGTAGAAACACAGAGTGTGCTAGTTGTCCCCCCAGAGGATTAAATCAGAGTAGGGGGATATATCCCCTGAAGGAAGGATTGAATACCGCCCCTGGTCATGTCGAAAAAGCGCCAACCCAGTTGGGGAGGGAGCACCGACACATTCAAACGGACGGATTCGTATAACTAAATACCTTTACTTCTGAGTAAGATGATAAATTCTACTGATTTCTATCCCACTGACTCTGACATCTTGACGTGTCTCCTACACCCGCTCATAGAAAAGCTTCCATAAAGAAAAAACATTGAAAACGCTCTGGAAATATCACTAGAATCAAAGAGAAAAGGAGATGTACTCACTCTCACGTCGCCAAATAGGTTTATAGGTCACTGCCAAACGGATATTGGATAATGTAATAGGCAGACAGTAATCTCAAGGAAAGTCGATATTTATATCAGTTCTACAGTGCGTACCAAAAGTATGTGGACACCCTGGAATCGATTCTCAGGGGTCAGCTAAAGGCTTTTATGTCATGAAACCTCCACCATTCAACTCCTAGTGGTCGATAACCTACAATGATATTTTCGGCAAAAGATTTCGTTCTAACTTAGCGAACTATTTTCATGAAAGTTTTTCTTGTATCAAATAGTGACCACCCCTGCGGCATGATGAAGTTTTTGCATCGATTTTAACCTATTTTTACTTCTCCTTTCGTTACTTATTCTGGCATCATTCCTCTTCACGGCAAGCGTTTTTCTGAAGAAGACCGAGCACAGAAATGGGATCCCCATGCTTCTGAACCTTCCTATTGCGAAATAGCACGTCAACCAGTCATGCGTCCTCGTAGGTTTGGAGAGAAATCCGAAATCCTGATGCTAAGCTCTCGACCTTGACTGAGGGTTGTTCTCAATCGCTACTTGTTCAAAACAGGAGAAGAATAGCCTTAATTTTCTCAAATTATTCTTTTCGTACTACTCAACTTTACGCATAAATGATCTTCCCGATCTTAAAAAAGACCAATCGGTGTCTCATTCAATCAATTGAGCACACGACACGAAAGAAGATGAAGAAGGCTTCGTATATGAATGCGGGTTCAGGTTGGCAAGGTTGGAATTCCCACTCAAAAAAGGATCACAACATGATACTTTGAACCCACACAGACAGTGCTTTCGTGGAAATGGTAAAATTAGTATAAAAGACTTTCTGTGGAAATTTCTCTCATAGACCAACTCGACTGGCAGAAAGAAGCTTATTCCTCACTATTCGGGTGGGTTTGAGGTTTTTGGAGAGACTTTGGTCGGACCCGCAGATGTGCTCGAAGAGACAATTCGGAAGATGTTCATCAAAGGTCTGGGGTGGTTCCAAAAGGAGGGGACATTGAAGTTTGGCTTGCCAACATGTCAGGTAGACGACTAGGATTATAATGAGGTGCTTGAGTCCCGGCTACAACCTTTTTCGAAAAGTCATGGTTGCAAATCACTTGTTTTGCAGGGAGGTCCCTGACACCATTCCATTTGGAAAAATGCTAAACGCAACGGCTTTGATTGGCAAGTCGGCTAGCGTATTCCTCAGACTTCATCCTTATTGACTTCATCTGACATCCTTATTGAAAACGTAGAGGTATATCGTGGTTCGCGGTCTCTACGTCATTGAACAAAAGAGTAATATCACAAGTGACCTAACACGTCGGTGAAATTTGCTAGTTGGGAACAGATCTGCAAGACATGTATCCAGACCCCATTCATAGCATGCCAAACAGAATGGCTCAACTTACTAGAAACTTTGGTAGGCCTACCGATTTCAGATTTTGAAGATATTGCCGTTTTTCAAAAAGTGTCCACATAATTTTGATACAAAGAAAAAACTTTCCATGAAAAATAGTTCGCTAAGTTAGAACGAAATCTTTTGCCGAAATATCATTGTAGGTTATCGACCACTAGGAGTTGAATGGTGAAGGTTTCATAACACAAAAAGCCTTTAGCTGACCCCTGAGAATCGATTCCAGGGTGTCCACATACTTTTGGTACGCACTGTATTTCAAACTGATCTGGGATGCTAAGCCCATATAGGGGTTGAGCAGGATGATTTGAATGAATGTTCAAAAATTTTAACTAAATCACCAATTTATTACTATAGGAATTACTGTAGGCCAGAAGAAGTTGTAAGCACCAATGCATTGCCGTAAAAAATTAACACTTATGAGATTTCTTTGGAAAGTTTTAAGCTCTGTTTTTAAATTTTGGAGCCTCATTGAGCACAATTAGGGAAGTTACTGAATGCGCAGAACTCCTAATGAAATAATAACGCAACGTGGACTGAAAAGAAGAATCCATGGCGAGCAACATTACACTGGAAAGCGATTCGCTATTCAAAATATATGACTCATTGCCTTTGCACGGTTCCGACAAAAATATTGGCGCGCTTGGCAGGTGCCGTCAGACGGCTTGACCAATGTAATAACGATTTTGGTCCAATGATGATGAAATCGCCACTCTTCCGAAGTCACTATTTGCTCAGGAATTATTCATTCAATTCACCTGCTGTTATCAGTCAGCTGAATGCAAGGAGCAGTAGCCGGCAAAGAGAGACAGCAAATTTGTGTCATTGAATCCTGCTGTGATTTAGACACCTCTAGAAGAAACAGGAGGAATTATGGGTCATAGGTTGGCGTCAGAGTCCGCGATACGTCGCATGGTTCGCGTTAATTGCGCGACGGATCGCATAAACTACAATCGCCGCGAGGTCTCTCCAAAGCCGCCACTATTTCTGCTTGATGGTGACGCTTGAATGACGACTGTTCACGATTCTATTTGTTTCATATTCAGTTTCAAATGTTCAAATGGGGCACCTGATTTTGCGATTCGCGTGAATCGCGCAACAGTCCGCAGACTCTGACACAGCCAATAACAGGGTAGGGGGTGTGGCACTGTACCTTGTACGGCCTACAATTCCAATTGCAAGGAAGGAAATCCTTGGGAAGCGTGAACCATTTCACTTCTACTTCACACTTTTCCACCCTAGCGTCCCCCTCCTCGTAGGCATAGTACTAGGGGTCAGAAGTGAAAATATTTATAATCCGTCACTGCAAAAAAGATGAAATCAATAACGTAACAGCCAGCTGCATACACTTCGACCCTGTTGTACTACCGTATCCAATAGGCGGCAGCCCGCCTGCATCCAAAATTCGAGAAAGAATTGCGAAGAAACGGAGCTTTCAGCATTTCATAACATTAGCACAATTTTCGCGAGTGCAAGTTGGAAGGAGAGAATACGGCGTCTTAATCGCGATGGCACTGAGCCTACGATATAAGCTCAAAACAGCCACAGGCTGGATCTTGCGAAATACATAAATAACACTGTTCACAGCTTACCATCACCTTCCTCCTTCCTAGGCTCAAGCTTAGTGTCATCGCACTCGAGAGAGCCGTGCCGCCGCGTGCTTTCTCGGACCCCCGCAACTTACTTAGCAACCTTTTACGTTGAATCTAAACCGTAGGAGAAATGCATGCAGCGAAGAGGAAGAGAAGGAACCAATCCCTCCGCGGCAATCCTCGAATCCTAGGCCTTTGTGCACATGAAAGCGAAAAATGAGCGCACGACAGAAAACAAACTCCCATAGCATCCCTATCCTCCTGCTTCCCAATCTGACAGCAACAAATCGTATAGAAATAACAAAACGATCAAAGTCAAAACAAAATTCGAGAGGAAGTAATTAGCAACTCAAAAATGGCGGGGAAAACAAGGCGGTTTCTGCGCTCACGTAGCGTACGCGGCGATTACGGATAATTCCCGATGCTGGCAGCCGGCTGCGGATGTGGTTCACCAAGACAGAAAGCGACTTTTTCGCTCAACGCGGCGCGAAGCTTTCTTTCGTTGTGGGAACCCAGGTCCACCATTAATTATGACTGGACCAGGAGTTTCCGTAAAGAACGGAGTTTTGTCGCACGGAAAGCGGAGAAGTCTTTCCTGTCCTAGCAAATCACACCCACCGGCTGCGCCCCTTTGAATGTCCACAAGCTGTGCATTCTTCTGATTTAGCCATGATGTCTTTTCGGGTTGTCAGATTAAAGGTTCATGAGGCCTTTAACCCGATTGTG